CTCTTTCATAAAAATTGGTATTTTTAGGAACCCCAAAACAAGAGCTCGTTCTTGGAAATACACCTGGTGCTCTTCACTGGACTCCCTGTACCCCTCCCCTCCCGGCAACTGTTAGGTAAAGAGAGGAAGTGTGTGTGCACTAGGAATAAACTCTGCACACCCACACAGAGAGGTGCAGCAGGTGGAAGCTTCCAGCTGACGTGTCACTGCGTCAGATCTGAAGCAGAACTCTAAGAAAGGCTTCAGCGGGCTGGGCTCAGAGCAGGTTCCGAAACACAGCTGTCTCAAGGCTTGTTCTCCAAGACCCCAGGCTGCGGGCTCACCATGACACGACCAGACACCATGGGCTCTAGATGAAGACAGGACCAGGAAGGGCTCTGGGCTCTCAGGAAACAGACTGGCACAATAAAGAACCCCCTCAACACTGCAGATGGTTCTCATCAAAAAAAGACTCACAGATCACCATCATCTTCCTAAAGGGCAACGAATGACTGCCAAGTTTGAGGGAAAAACAAAACAAAAGAAGCTTACTGTTTGTGGCTAGACAGAATACACGAGGGGGCTTCATGAAGTTTGTGGAGAAATTCCATTTTGTTTTAATTCCGCTTCTCCACAAACTTTTTGAAGCCGTGTCATACTGAAGAGCAGCTTCGCAGAGGAGACTCTCTCAGACCCTCAGTGCCTTCTGCTTTCAAGGGGCGTCAATGTCTCCCACCGTAGACTCTTGGAGGATGAAATCCCTGTGACACACGCCTGCTCTTCAAAGGAGTAAGTTTCATCTTTACAATGTCACTGATTTCGTCACAAGCTCTTCAGAAAGGCATGCGAGAGCACCTAAGCACCTACGGTTGGTCCTGAGAAATCACCCGGGCCATGGGGAAACGGCTGACATCACACTGCACAGGAAACACCAGGTGTGCCTGAAACACCTGCTACATGGGAAAGTAGGGGAGATAGGGCGACTAGCAAAGACACACCCAGTGGGATTCAGGAGCCAATCAGAAGACATGCGCAATGACCAAAAATCAGATCATCTGAACTTAAAAAAAAGGGTCACAGTGGTGATTGGCAGAAAGATGAGACGGGTCCTTCTAGCCAATGATGGTTGACAGCGCTGGCCAACTGCCTCGTTACCCCGAAAACCAAGACGGGGGGTTGGGGGGTACTGGACACTTGTGCTACCTTTCCGCCACACCCAGCCTTGGGAAACTCAAGAAGTAAGTTTGTCTTCATGGATGCTTTCCACCATGCCCAGGGGATTCACTGAGGGTGGAGGTGGAGGGCTGCTAACAAGTCACGTGACAGAAACTGCCGCGGGGCATCTGCCACCCCCGCACCACCCCCAGCCAAGATTGAGAACCTGATCAAAGGACCAGTTACCAGTGCATGGGAAACGTGGAGGACATCGTGTCATCAGCAAATGCAGACTTAGGGACTCCACAGGACAGGACACCGGGAAGAGGGAGACACACTGGTGACTCCAAATGTGTGCTACCCACACCCTCCTCTGTCCTGAACTACCACTGCGCCACGCCACACCATGCCCAAGTCCTTTTGAGACAACTATAAATTTCAGCCCTGAGAGGACATTTGATATTAGTGGTCATGAGTCTAGCTGCTAATGTCACGGCCAGCAGTTCGAAGCTACCAGCGGTTCTGCAGGAGAAAGATGAGGCTTTCTGCTCCCGTAAAGAGTAAAGATTTACAGCATCGGAAACCCTGTCGCTATGAGTCGCTAACCGACTCCCCGGCACACAGCCACCACCTTTATATAAGGCGCTGCACGATAAGCACTGGACCACAGGCCTGCTTCAAACTGCTAGTCTGTAGATTCTAATGCACCAACTGCTCCTTGGAAACCCTCTACTGGGCCGCTATGAGCCAGAACCAACTTGATACCACTTAACACGAGGTACAGTGGGTATCTATTTTTTTTTAAAGTTTCTTTATTTTGTTGGGATCCATGTGGAACTATGTGCAGATGAAATAACAGGCTGCGGGCAGTGTGAGAACAGCAGGAAACAGTAACCCTGAAGCTTGGTAATGAATACGTGGGGATTCTTTACATGACACGGTCTAATTTTATATGTTCAAAATTCCCTGTAATCATTTCTTAAAAGGATAATGTAAAGGTATTTTATTTTGAGGTCCTCTGCCTTTTCAGAGAACTAATAGTTCGGGATGGATTCCTGGTGTGGCGCTGTGGGTTAATGCGCTGGGCTGCAAAGTCGGTTTGAACCACAAGGTCAGTGGTTCAAGCTCACCTGCCGCTCCTCGGAAACCCTATACAGGGTCACTATGAGTCAAAACTGACACAACGGTATTTAATAACAACAACACTGTGACATATATCAGTCTTAAATCCACTTTGCAGATATCTAAAGCTGGCCCAGCGGAATATGAAGATTGTCAGACAGTATCATTGGTATCATATGCAAGTAAAATTTTGTTAAAGATAATTAAGAAATGGCTGCAACAGTCCACTGACAGGGAGCTGCCAGAGGTTTAAGCTGGACTGAGTTGAGGACGTGAAATGAGGGATATCACTGATGACGTCATATGGATCTTGACTGACAGCAGAGAATACCAGAAAGATGTTTACCTGTGCTTTATTGACTATGTAAAGGCTTTCTACTGTTTGGATCTTGACAAACTATGGACAACATTGTGGAGGAGTATTCTGGAACACTTGTGCTCATGAGGAACCTGTACATAGACCAAGAGACAGTCATTCAAACAGAACAAGGGGACACTGAATGGTTTAAAACTAGGAAAGGTGTGTGCCAGGGTTGTATTCTTTCACACTTACTCAATATGTATGCTGAGCTAATAATTCAAGAAACTAAATTTATATGAAGAAGAATGTGGCATCAGGATTGGAGGAAGACTCATTAACAACCTGTGACATGCAGATGATACAACTTTGCTTGCTGAAAGTGAAGAGGACTTAAAATACTTAGTGATGAAGAACAAAGACCACACTTTGGTTTGGGTTCCCCCTCAATGTAAAGAACACAAAAATCCCCAAATGGACCAATAATAACATTGTGATAAATGAAGAAAAGATTAAAGTTATCAAAGACTTCATTTTGTTTAGATCTACCATCAACACTCATGGAAGCAGCAGTCAAGACATCAAATGATGCATTGCATCGGGCAAAACTGCTGCACAAGACCTCTTTCAAGCGTTCAACAGGAAATGATGTCAGTTTGAGGACTAAGGTGCATCTGACCCAAGCCACAGTATTTTCAAAAACCTCATATGCGTGTGAAAGTTGGACAGTGAATAAGGAAGACTGTAGAAGAATTGATGCCTTTGAGTTACGGTGTTGGATGAGAATATTGAGAGTGCCATGGCCTGCCAGAATAAAAAACAAACCTGTGTTGGAAGAAGTACAGCCAGAACGCTTTTTAGAAGGCAGCATGGTCAAGAGTTTGTCTCTCCTACATATTATCAGGGGGGGTCAGTCCCTGGAGAAGGACATCATGCTAGGAAAAGTGGAGGGTCACCGTAAAAGAGGGAGACCCCCAAGCAGATGGATTGGCCCAGTAGCAGCTGCAATGGGCTCAAGCGAAGCAGCGAGTGTGAGGACGGTGCAGGGCTGGGCGGTGTTTCATTCTGTTGGGCATCGGGGTTGCTATAGGTAGGAACGCTCATTGGCCCATAACAACAAAGATGGCTTGTTTTATCCGTTTCTACTTAGGAAATCTATCCTTTTCACAGATGAATCAGTCTTGTGAATAGCAAAATACAATAAATAACAAACTATCAACCTTATTGCCTAAGTAAAGGCTAGACAAAGCATCTATGGAGCTAATGAAGCAACATTTTAAACTATAACCTATTTTGAAATATGAGGGGGCTTTAAAAATTTTGTGGAAAAAACGTAATTAGAAGATAATAGAATTTTCCCACAAACGTTGTAAAGCCCCCGTAACAGCCAGAAAACACAGCCCAAGTGAATTTTTCCCACACACATCGTATCTTTAAAAGACAATGTATCCAAGTTTCACTAAGCAATCCCCGCCCCGCCATCCTGACCCTAAGCATGAAGTCAGCTGACAGCCTGTCAGAGCCCTTCTTTGCCCGTCATCATCCGTGCACACAGAGACAGGAGTGGAGCCGGCAGGGGAAATGAAATCCACCCATCCCTAAAGCACAGCTTTCTGTTTCTAGAAGACCTGGTGGGGCCGTGGGTAAGTGCTTGGCTGCTAACGGAAAGACTGGTGGTTCGAACCCTCCAGCAGGAGCGATCCCGTACAGACTCTGTGGCAGTCTGCCTCAGTGCACACTTCTAGCTCTGGGGCAGTTCAACTGTGTCCTCCGGCACTGCTGTGAGTCAGCGCTCATGGGCAGCAAGGGGGTTGGTGTTCAGAGTATTCGCACTAATAACACGTCTGTTTCCTTCTGGGTGTGAGTGGACTATAATGCACGTTGATTGCGCTGACCAGGTGTACGAATCCCACTGTCGGGACCCATCTACGGCAGGGGAGTGATGGTGTGGAAGGGAAGGAAGCGAGTCTGGAGGGTGAGGATGGGACCCTGAGATGGGGGGTGGCCTGGGGGAGCCTCCACCACTGACCACTGTAACAAGGACTGGTACACGTCATCAAAACTTGTTGAAAGAATGACAGAAAATGTGCAAATCCTAGAAGGACAAGGGGAAACAACAGCATGGAAGGAAACACGAGTTCTGAAGCACAAGTTGTAGCCCAGCTGGCTCTAACTCCTGGCGGCTCCCTATGCACAGACAGAACTGCTCCATAGGGTTTTCAACCTTCCGGAAGCAGGTCACCAGGCCTGTCTTCCCAGGTGCCTCTGGGTGGGTGTGACCATCAACCTTTTGCCTAGTCATCCAGTGTGTAACTATTTGCCCTTGCCCCACCCAGGGGCCCCGAGTTCAGAGGAAAGAGAAGCAAGATGGAGTGACATCCCAGGACTGAAGGGGCTGGCCGCAGTGGGGCTGTGTTCTCAGAGGGGAGAAGACAGGCGGACTTACCTTCTTGGAGGCCGGGGACCAGTTTGTAAACAATGTCCTGCATGGTCCTGTCATGACTAGAAAAGGAACCAAAGAGGAGGAATTAGTCAGAGAGCTGTTTCTAGAATTTGGCTACACTTTCCAGCTCAGGAGTGTGGGCTGAATTTCATTGACTTCCAGTCTGTATTGCCAGATGGGGCAGGCAGCCTGAACTCACTTAGACTGGCTGGATGGCAGCAGAACGAGGCGGTCAGCTAGAGTGGACTGTCCGAGCTAACACCCTGGTTGCCAGGACCACTGAGCACTGCACGGTGTGCACACGCCAATGCTTCCAGGCTCTCCTGGCATTGGCACAATTACCACTTTTTTTTACGTTTCCAAATGATGCTAATGCTTGTGACATGAAGTCCTTCTTGTGGTCTTTACTATTTATTTCTAAAAGTTTTCTGAAAAGGCTGCAAAATCCTACTTTTTCAAATAGGCTTTTGTATTTTGTTTTCATACCCCAGCTTGTGATTTTTCAAACCGAAATAATTATGTTCAAGTGATGGTTTTCTTTTGGAGGGTGTAAAATGTGTTGGAGAGTTTCTTAATTTTGAAAAGTCACTCATCAAAAGAAAGCAAACTGTGGGCCTGATCTGGGGCTGTAGAACAACTGACAAATGACCCTGTACAGTGTTGGTCGGGGGCGGGGGGGGGTCACAGCTGAACGAGCTGCACCTGGTTAGGCAAACAGCAGCACTGAGGACCACCTGTACGCAGACCGAGTAAGACACAGGCACTGCCAGGGACCTGCCGCCCTCTGCTGGATGCCACGCTTTGTCTGTTATCAGGGACAATTCAGGAGAAGGCACCGACCTAGGTCTATGGTGTGGCAGACAGAATCCCTGCCACAATCCACACCAAGAATGACATTTCTTTATGATACGGACTGTTTCTGTGGACAGGAATGCGTGTGTCACACACATGCACACAATTACACACATGTACACTTCCAAACACCCACCCACACATGCATGCTACACGTGTACACACCAAACACCACATTCATATAACCACATCCATACATGTTCACTCACACCACAAACACACTTATATATTCACACACACTACAAGTACACCCACATACATTATCACACTCGCACACACATTCATATCCACATATGTATGCCCACTCGCTCAAATATATACACATACACACCTGCACATAACTACCACACATACACACTCAGACAAACACACCCACACTCCTCCGCAGGTACCTATGGACACACAGACACACCCCTGCACACCTGCACAGAAGCGCTGGTAAACAACACTCACCACACTCCCTTGGATGCCCTTTAATCTCTTCTACTGCCCCCTCCCTGTCCCTCTGGTCCCCCGGTTCTCTATAAAAAGCAAGTCTCAATTCACAAGAACCATACTGGCCCATGGGGCGGGGGGACAGGAATCTCCACACCTTTTCTGGACCTGGTCTTGGGGGATCAGGGCATGGGGAGCCCCTCAAAGCAGGGACTTTGGGAGTGGGGGTGCACAGGACAGAATAGCACGTGGACCCCCAGAAACGGGCACTTGTCTTTCCCTGTGTTTCCCCTCTCCACCCATTATGGGGTCTTCACAGAACTTAACAGGATCGTGCACAGCACACAACACGAGTCAGGTGTCTCCTTTCCTGCTAGGGCCACGCCCACCTGGGCTCCACCTCAATCCCCAAAGGAAGGCAGCTCCATCCTGACACCAGGGGGCCTGTCCCCAAGGTGTCCACAGTCCAGGAACAAAGAAGCACAAAGCCTCAGGAACAATGAGAAGCAAGTGACAAGAGGGGAGGGGTTGCCACCGGGCCCCTCACGGCCTCGCCACCTGACCACGTCCTCATCACCGGGCCCCTCACAGCCTCCCCGTCCAGCCATATCCCTACCACTTGGCCAGTCCCATTCCCTGGCTTCACTGCAGCCCCGTCTTTGCCAGGAGAGTAGGGGCAGGGGTCTCAGATCTCCGCGGCCACGCATGCCCAGCGGCTCATGCCAGCTCTGCCCTTCCTGCTCTCTGCCCTCTTGAGCTGGCCTTCACCCGGTGTGTTCAGGGTGAGCACACGGGTCTCAGGCTGGGCTGAGAGGGCACCAGACGCTCTTAGTGCCTCAACCTGCCTCAGCTCTACAGGACAACACCCCAAGACAGAACACCTGGGCAGCAGGAGCCCAGCATGTGTAAAGAACCGCTCTGAAGTGAACCGTCACTGAGAAAGTCCAAACAAAGCCACCCCGCTGCCGACCCAGGGCGCCCCCTCAGGGTTACACAGAAGCAGGTGGTCCCGTCTTCTCCACATAGCAGCCAGGGTCCTTGAACTGGCAGCTGAGCACTTTAACACTAGGCTACCAAGGGCTCCTTCTCTGAACACAGGTTTGAAAACCACAGGTCCTGGGCACCTGACCTGCCACCCTCTGAGAAGCTGTGCAGGTCCCCAATACGTCCAGGAGCGGACTGTCCACCCCCCAAGACGGCCACACCAGGGCCCCTCTGGTTTCCTTGAGACCCAGGGAGGCAGAAAGCCAGAACCCACGCAGGGCAGGAGGTGGGACGAGGGCTGGTCCTTCACTTCGAACTTCAGCTCCATGAGCTGAAAACTTGGTGAAATCCCAATGTGGTCTTGAGGTCTCTGAAACGCCCCAGTGTCCGTGTGGCTGGGGACTCCCAGGAACACGTTCTGCAGCGGTCAGTTGGCATCCGGTGCTGATGGGCAGGTGGGATGCAGGTGTCACCCCCCACCCCCCGCCGCCACCCCGTTCTCAGGACATGCGCCAGGACAGGACGTTTAGGAGCGGGGTCCCGGCTGCGACACTCACCCGATGTACTGCAGGGGATGGCTCTGGTGAATGACAATTCTGCACGTCGGGCACGTGTTGTTCTCCTCCAAATACTTCACCAGGCAACTCCGACAGACTGTTTTCAAAACACACGGACGTCAGCAGAGAAGCATCCAGAAGCAGAACGCCCACTTATGCCCAGGTACAGCTTTAACACGGTTTTCAAGGAAACCAGCCTGTCCCTCAGGTCTCAGGTAGCCCAGGAAACGTGTCCACCAACCACCTGACTCACACCCCAGACCTGGGCTTAGAATTAGGGGCGGCGGTTGCTCCCCAGGGTCCCAGGCTTGTCTGCTGAGGAAGTCTGTGGGTGAGCTCGAACCGCCAACCTTCTGGCTAGTAGTCAGTCTGATTGTGCCACCAGGGCCTCCTTTATGAACCTGTTGCTGCCAAGCACCTAGTTAAGCTTCCAAGGAGCGGCTGGTGAGTTTGAGCTGCTAACCTGGTTAGCAGTGCTGTGCTTATCCCAGTGCCACGCCACGTCTCCCCTTTATGAATTAAACAGGAAGCAAAAAACAAAAAGTGGGTGGAGAGAACTGGACTCCCAGTGTAGGATCAGCACTGGACTGTGAACCACAAGGTCGGAAGTTCAAACTCACCAGCTGCTCCCTGGAAACCCTATACAGGGTTGCTATGAATCAGAACCAACTTGATGGCACTTCATAATAACAACAGAGAATCACCCTAAGAATTTTAATTCTCACCTGACTGCCTTAAACACATGGGTTAAGTTTTTAAATGTTATAATTAATTAAATTCACCTAAGGAACGACATTGGAGTCCTGGTGTGGCACTGTGGTTAATACACTAGACCCCAAGGTCAGTTTGAACCACAAGGTTGGTGGTTCAAGCTCACCAGCCACTCCATGGGGACCCCATACAGGGTTGCTATGGGTCGGAACTGACAACAGCGCTTAACAACAAACAATCACAATTTTTTTTTTGTAAAATAAGTAGAATGACACCAAGTTCTAAGATAATAACATGAAAGAATGGTCACCAACATTTAAAAACACAATTAGCTTTAGAAATCCTACCAAAACAGGCCATGACTCCATTACTTAAAGGGAAAAGCGACGTGCTGGTAAATCAGCTGTGTGTGGAGAGCCCATCGCCGGCAGGCCTTGTGCCGCATTTTGCAGACACCATGTTGTAACAGATGGAAGGTGTGTGGCTGACCTGCAGTCTCCCAATACCACGGGCTCACTTCTCGCCTCAGTGCCCACTCTGCTCACCCTCACACCATTTCAAACCGTTTCAACATGGTACAGTACATTATGGAGCCCTGATGGCAGAGTGAGCTGCTAACCCCAAGGTGGGTGGTTCAAATCCCAGTCACTCCATAGGAGAAAGGGGGTTTTCCGTTCCTGTAAACGTCTGCAGCCTCAGAGACCCTATGGGGGTGCTGTTGCAGAGTCACTATGAGACAGAACGGACTTCGTGGCTGGGGTTTGTGTGTTCACACACTGGGAACCCAAGACCCCACTTCCCGGTGATGCTCGCTCCACAAGTATGTCTGAGGTCTGCTTCGATCCTCCACACTCAGTACAGCGGGATGGTTCATGGGCATTTCTACCCAGCCCCCTTACCCCCACACACCCACCAGCCGCTCGCCTGTCACGTGAGGTGGGACTGAAGCGACGGAACCCCAAGTCAGCACCCGGGCTGGGGCGAGGGCATGGTGAGCAGAGCTGCTACTGTCCAGGGAGTTCTGACTCACAGGGACCCCAGAGGACAGAGCCCACCTGTCCCCCAGGGTTCCTGAGACTATAGCTTTACGGAAGCAGACTGCTTCATCTCTCTCCCTCACAGAAAGGCATGAGGGTTTGAACTGACGACTTTTTGGAGGCAGCATTTCCCTACTCCTTGAAGCTCTTGAACAGTTACCACCCGGGGGTGTGAGCTGCAAACTTCTGGTAGAGCCAGAAGCCGCCGCACACACGCTCCCGTGAGAGCGAGACGCCAAGTGGAGAACGTACAGGTGTGCAAGCACTCGGTGACGGTGGTGGCGTCGATGAGGTACCCACTGCACAGGCGGCAGGTGATGTGGGCATTGATGTCCCAAAGCTTAATCTTTCTGGTCAACATCTTTGGCTTCTGCAAGAGAAAAGCACAGATAGATGGGTTAATGCCAACAAGGCCCCGAGGAGGCCAGTGAGAACAGCGTGCAGCCCCGGAGAACCACTATAAACCACACAGGGTACCATCCACTCACAATCCCACACTGATCAAACTTCTAACAAGACAAAGAACAGAAAAGCAAACAGCTTCAAGGAGAATCCGGGTGCATCTCCAAAGGCAGAAGTGTTTACTAGCACCGCGGTGGCTCAGCACACTTCTGGGGGCCTGGCTGGGGCAGAGATGCGAGGACGGGGAGGAAGTAGTAAGACAGGCATTGCCTGGAGATGGCATCATCACCTACGTGATGTCAACTCTAAACGCACTTAGGGAGATCAGCGTTCCTCCGTGAGCCGCAATGAGCTGCTGAAACTTTCCCAGAAAACAAACTAGGCCCATACCGCCGCTGTGGAACAGTGTGGAGGGTCCTCAAAATGACTAGAACTGACGCGGTCATTCCACCGCTGGGAGCATGCCCAGAGGACTGCAGAGCGGTACCGAGAAGGGAGAGAGGCACTCCAGGCTTGCAGGGTAGAAGCGGCCATGCGCCCAGCAGCAGATGAGCAGATGTGGTGTGTACACAACCAGGCTCGGCACATGCTACAACACGGGCACTGCATGAACTCATCTTTAACAGAGACAACCCCAGGTAAATGCACTACGGCGTAGTTCTATTTGGGCTCATGAGCAAAGGGGGCAGTGGCTGCGTTCCAGTTTACGAATCGCATTGAATAAGGGCAGGATTACAAGGTAACAGCTGTGTGACAGAAACATTCACAACACCAACACTAACAACAAAACAACAGCTGGACTCCTGGTGTGGCACTGTAGGATAAGCACTGGACTGCTAACTACAAGGCTGGCGGTTCAAACCCACCAGCCGCTTGTCAGAAACCCTACACAAGGTCACTGTATGCCAGACTGACTCGATGGCGCTTTTAACAGCAATATAATGTTGCTGATGTTACAATTCCCGAATGTTTAGTGGCAGATGTTCAATGCTATGATTTACAAAGATACTGATAATAAAAGGCAATAATAGTGAAAACAAAGAAAGAAATGAGGCTTTCAATTTAAACAAGAACTTAAACTTTTTTTTAAAGGAGCTATTCAACTTTGGTAGCGTAGTGGTTACGAATCGGGCTGCGAACCTTAAGGTCAACGGTTCGAAACTACCAGCTGCTCCGCGGGAGAAAGATGAGGCTTTCTACTCCCGTAAAGATTTACACCCTCGGAAACCCTGTACAGGGTCGCTATGGGTCGGAACCGACTCGATGGCACATAACAACAACAACAACATTCAACTTACACAAAAACAAACTTAGGACCGGAGTCGTCAGAAAAGAGTCCGTTTGTGAGTCAGGAGCTTCCTGTAGGGTGAAAGCTGGGAGAGCCAGAATTGACAGGGCGGCCTCGTTTTCCTGGGACCCTGACAGGGTGCAGTCTTGCCATATTTTTATCACTCGTTTTAATGGAAATATTTGTGGGTTTCCCTTCTCTGAGAGGTTTCCACCTTAGGCTCCGGCTTTTGAAGTTTTTATGGCATAAAAAGCAGATTATGCAACTGAGCAGAGGTAGAGGAAGGCAGATACCACACGCTGACGAGCAAGGAGCCAAGGAACAGAAGTTGAAAAGAAACAAGGGTCCTCCCCAGAGCCCAGAGAGTGGTGTTCTGAATTTGGACCCTCCTAACCAGGAGCTGGGGAACTGAAGAAAAATTCAAGTCTC